AAAAAAAAGGAGAAAAATGGGAATTTCAGGGTTAAAAAATGCAGAATTCTGGGAATTTTGGGGCCTGGCCAGGAGCCCGGGAAGCACAAAGAGCTATATGTGACTCCTTTCCAGAAAAAGTTGTTTTGTAATTTACTGGGAAAAAAAAAAAAAAAAAAAAAAAAATCCTGGAGCTGCTTTCCCGAGATTTTTTCCCTTTTTCCTGAAGGAGGAAAATGGAATTTTTGCGGTTGGGATGGAGAAAAGGAGGGAAAATTGAGATGGGAAAAGACAGGAAATGAAGGAAAAAAAAAAATCCCAAATTATCCCAAATTATTCCTGCAATTCTTGGGTTTGGATTTTCCCGATATATTGGGAGTTCCCAGGGAGGTTTTCCCAAAATTCTGGGTTTTTTTCCCCAAATTCTGCTTTGTTTTCCCAAAAGTCTGCTTCATTTTCCTAAAGAATTCCCAAATGATCCCAAATTAATTCTCTCAAATGATCCCAAATTAATTATCCCCAAATATCCCAAATTATTTATTCCAAATGATCCCAAAAAATTTCCCAAATATCCCAAGTTAATTATCCCAAGTTAATTATCCCAAGTTAATTATCCCAAGTTAATTATCCCAAGTTAATTATCCCAAGTTAATTATCCCAAGTTAATTATCCCAAATGATCCCAAATTTTCCCCAGATATCTCAAATGATGCCGAATGAATTTTCTCAAATTATCCCAAAAAATTCCCCAAGTATACCAAATTAATGATCCCAAGTTAATTGTCTGAAATGACCCCAAATCCCGGGAATTCCCGATCCCGCCCCCCCAGATCCGGTGACGCTTTCCAGGGAAATGGAGCCGAGGAACCGGAGCCAGAGGGATGAAATTCCAGAGGGGGGAGCACGGAAAATCGGGAATTATCCCAATGGGAAAACTGGGAATGATCTCATTAATTGGGATAACTGGGAATGATCCCAATCCCTGGACCCAAAAATTCCCTGTGGGGTTTGGGGTCGCCCTGGGTTTGCCCTGGATTTCATCCCAAAATTCTCCACCCCAAGGAATTCATCCCCAAAATTCAGTCCCAGAATTCTCCACCTCAAGGAATTCATCCCCAAATTCAATCCCAAATTTCCCCCAAATCCCAATTCCCACCTTGAAGAATCCATGCCAAAATCAATCCCAAATCCAATCCCAAATTCCCATCCCTGAGGAATTGATCCCAAAATTTCCCCCCTCAAATCCCAATCCTCCACCCCGAGGAATTCACCCCAAATTCCCAAATTTCTCCCCCCCCCAAGGAATTCCTAACCCGGACTCCAAAAAGCCGCAGGGAAAAAGCAAAACCTCAAATCCTGAATTCCACCCCAAATTCAATCCCGAATTTTTCCCCCCCTCCCTGATCCCGAAAAAGCCGCAGGGAAAAAGGAAAAAAACCCCAAATCCTGCCCAGGGGAAAGGGAATTCCAAAGGAATTCCAAATAAATTCCGATCCCAAACCGGTCTGACCGGTCTGGGAACGGCCCGGAGCGATCCCATAAAACCCCGCCCCAAACAAAAGGGGACAAAAGGGACAAAATCCTCTGGATTTGGGATCCTTTACATCCTCCCTAAAAGGGACATTGGGACCCCCTAAAGGGACACAGGGACCCTGTCCCGTGTCCCCAGGACCCTGTCCCGTGTCCCCAGTGCCACCAGGACCCTTCCCCGTGTCCCCAGACCCCTCTCCGATGTCCCCAGACCCCTGTCCCGTGTCCCCAAACCCCTGTCCCGTGTCCCCAGACCCCTGTCCCGTGTCCCCAGACCCTTGCCCGGTCCCCAGCACCCCCTTCCATGTCACCAACACCCTGCCCGGTGCCACCTGGACCCTGCCCCGTGCCACCAGCGCCCTCTCCGGTGTCACCGCGCCCTGCCCGATGTCACCAACACCCTCCCCGCTGCCACCCGGACTCTGTCCCGTGCCACCAGCGCCCTCTCCGGTGTCACCAACACCCTTTGCGTGCCACCAGCGCCCTGCCCGGTGCCACCAACGCCCTCTCCGCTATCCCCAGCCCCCTCTCCAGTGCCACCACCACCTTGTCCGGTGTCCCCAGCCCCCTTGCCCGGTGTCACCGGTCCCCCCTGCACGCCACCACGACCCCCGCCCGGGGAGCAAGACCCTCTCTGGTATCCCCAGCATCCCCTCCCGTGCCACCAGCACCCTGTCCGGTGTCCTCATGTCCCTGCCCGGTGTCCCCAGCTCCGTGTCCGGTGTCCCCAGCCCCGTGTCCGGTGTCCCCAAGACCCCCCCCACTCACCGCCCGCTCCGGCCGCTCCCGCCGCAGCCACCGCAACCTGTTACCTTCGCCCAGGCCCCGCCCCTCGCCGCTGATTGGGCGGTGCCACCCCAAGTTCCACCTCTTTAGGGCGGGACCTCACCGATAAACCCCGCCCAACACCACACCGGTGCTGCGTCACGTGGTACCGTTGCCATGTTGGGAAGGGCGCAGCGCCCCTGCTGGGATTTCCGCCACGCTTAAGATGGCGGGTAAGCTACGCCCACTCCTTACGGTGGCCGGGAGAGGCCGCGTTCCCTCTGCGCAGGCGCAATCGCGGCGTGACTAAGATGGAGGTCGGGGCAGCGCCGCCGCCGTTCTGGGCCGGGGGCCCGGCCCCGGGACAAACGTACATCCCGAGAGCTCTGGGACGGACAGACATCTTCTCCCCGGGCACCGGAACCGCCCTGCCCGCCGGCCGCACCCTGTGAGGGCAACGCGGGGCGCGGGAGGGCGGGAAAGTGTGAGGCGCGATGGGCGAAAGGGCGGTCTGAGGGTGAGGGGAGAATGGGGAGACTGGGGGGGACTGGGGAGGAAGAATTGGGGAAATGGGGGGGACTGGGGAGGAGGAACTGGGGAGACTGGGGGGAGATGGGAGGGGTGTCGGGAGATTTGTGGAGGGTCTCTGAGGGCTGGAGGGGCAAATTGGGATCCGAACTGGGCAACCTGGGAGCCAAACTGGGCAAAACCTGGGCGGGGATGTGAGGTGTGAGGGGGATTTGGGAAGGGGGAAATGGAAGAAGGAAATCCGGAAATGCCGGAGAGACTCCAGGGGTGCGGAATGGGCAAACTGGGAGCCAGACTGGTGAAACTGGGAGGTAAACTGGGACCCAAACTGGGATCCAAAATGGTGTAAATGGGAGTCAAACGGAGAGCTAAACCGGTGTAACTGGGAGGTAAACTGGGACCCAAACTGGGATCCAAAATGGTACAAATGGGAGCCAAAGTGGGAGCCATACTGAGCAAACTGGGATCCAAACTGGTGTAACTGGGATGCCGTCGACAGGACCCCGATGGTGACGGGAACGTCGGTGCTGGGGCTGCGTTTCCGGGGGGGGGTGATGCTGGCGGCGGACACCGTGGGCTCCTACGGGTCCCTGGCGCGCTTCCGGGGGATCTCGCGCCTGCTGAAGGTGAACGATTGCACCGTGCTCGGAGCCTCGGGGGACCTGGCGGATTTCCAGCACCTGCGGCAGCTCCTCGAGCAGATGGTGTAAGAGCCCATGGAAGTGTGGGAATTCCCCACCCCGAAATTCCTCGGGAACGCTGGAATTCCCGTCCCGAAATGCCTCGGGAATTCCGGAATTCCCCGTCCCCAAATTCCCCAGGAATCCCAGAATTCACATCCCAATATACTCCCATAATTCCAGAATTCACCATCCCAAAATCACACAGGAATTTCAGAATTTTGCAATCCCAAAATCCCCCGGGAATTCTGGAATTCCCACCTCAAATTCTGGTGTGATTCCCAGGAATTCTCCATCCCAACATCCCAATCTCCAATCCCAGAATTCCTTGGAATTCCTTGAGCACAAATCCTGGAATTCCTTGGTGTTCTTGGAGCACAAATCCCCAAATTTCCGGGCGCTCCATCCCCGAATTCGGTGACATTTTTGACCACAAATCCCCGAATTCCGCGGCGATTTTTGCCCCGCTCCGATGCCGGAATTCCCTGGGCTTTCAGGATCGACGAGGAGCTGCTGGGGGACGGGCACAGCTACAGCCCGCGGGCGCTGCACTCGTGGCTGACGCGGCTCCTGTACAGCCGCCGCTCCAGGATCAGCCCCCTCTGGAACTCGGTGCTCATCGCCGGCCTCGACGGCGCCCAAAGGTCGGGACCCCCAAATTCCGGGAATTCCCTCCTGGAATTTCCCCCCCACGGGGATTTCCTGCCGCTTCTTTCCTGGGGTGATTCCTGCTCCTTCCCAGGGAAATTCCTCATTTTCCCTGGGGCTGTTCCTGCTCTTCCCCTGGTGATTCCCCCTTTTACCCTGCAGTTTCCTGGGATACGTGGACATGCTGGGCGTGGCCTACGAGGCTCCATCGCTGGCCACGGGCTTCGGGGCTTACCTGGCACAGGTGAGTCCAGCCTTGCCTGATTTTGAATTAATTAATTAGTTTTTAATTGATTATCCCGGGATTCGGGGCTTACCTGGCCCAGGTGAGTCCAGCCTTGTTTCCTGTTTAATTAATTTTTAAATTCAGAATTAATTTTTTTAATTGCTTATTTTTTTTTTTAGTGAGTTCTCCTTTAATACCCAATTTTTTAGTTCATGGCTTTTAAAATTGTTATTTTTTTTTTTTTTTAGTTCATCATGTCATTATTTTAATTCACAGGTTCTGATTAATTTGGTTTTTTTAATTTCTAAATTTTAATTCCTGTGTTCTGATTTCCTTAATTTCAATATTTAATTTAGTATTAATTAATCTTGACTTTTCTAATTTGACTTTTAATGTTATTTTAACTAATGGCTCCTGATTTCTCTATTTGATTTTTATCTGATTTTACTTCATGAATCCTAATTAATTTGATTTCGTAATATGATTTTAACTCACGGATTCTGATTTCACTAATTTGAATTTTTAATTGTGATATTAATTAATCCCGACTTTTCTAATTGGATTTTTTTTTAATGATTTTAGTTTACAGATCGTGGCTCATTAATTTGATTCCTTACATGATTTTAATTTTTTTGGTTCCTGATCAATTTGACGTTCCCACAGGAACAGGTTAATTGGGTGTTTTGGGCCGATGTTAATTAATTAGTTAGTTAATTATTTAATTAATTGATGTGCCTGCAGCCGCTGCTGAGGGCGGAGCTGGAGCGGGAGCAGCTCCCGACGAGGGAGGAGGCGAGGGAGCTCCTGGAGAGGTGTCTGAGGGTGCTCTACTACAGGGATGCTCGGTCCTTTAACAGGGTCTGTGTCCCAAAAACCCCAAACCCACCCCAAAACCCACCCCAAACCCATCCCAGACCCATCCCAGCCCCAGAGCTCCTGGAGAGGAGAGTTTGTAGCCAAAAATATCCCAAAATCCACCCCCAAAAACATCCCAAACCCATCTCAGTCCTGGGGTTTTTTCCCATGGAATTCTGGGTGGGGACTGAGGAATTCCAGATTTTAGGAATTCCAGATTTTAGGAATTTTGGGACTGAGGCATTTTCTGGGTTTCCCGCAGTTCGAGGTTGCCGTGGTGACCGAGAAGGGGGTGGAGCTCGAGGGGCCCCAAACCCTGGAGGCCAATTGGGACATCGCCCACGTGGTCAGGTGAGAATTCCAGGGAAAAATAAAATAAAATATTGGGAATTCTGGGACATCGCCCACCTGGTCAGGTAATTCCATGGGAAAATAAGATATTGGGATTTGGGAATTCTGAGGCACATCCAGGTGTTCTGGAGACACCCACTGTTTATCCAGCTGTTCCAGGTGTTATCCAGGTGTTCTAGGGGTCACCCAGATGTTTTCCCTGCCCCTCTAACCCCTTTTTTCCCGTTTTTTTCCCGTTTTTTTCCAGAGGTTTCGAGTGATCTCCAAGGAGCTGCCCCGCCCCCGTGGAATTCCCGATTTTATCCTGACCCCTTTTTCCTTCTGGAACTGCAAATCCAGCGATTTTTGGGAATAAAAAAAATCATTCCACACCAATCCGTGTGTTTGTTCTTTGGAAATCCTCCAGAAAAAAAAAAATCTGGGAATTCTCCCCCCACAAAAAATGGAAATTTTGGGGAATTCCAGGTGGATTTGGCGGCTCCAAATCCAAAATTGTGGAATTTTGGAGGTGGGAAAAGCCCTTTAGGGATGAAGTTCTCAAAAACCTGGGAATTCTCCCCGGAATTTCCAATAAAATATTGGAATATTCCAATCAAATTGAGGAAAATTCCATAAAATACTGGAATATTTCCAATAAAATTAACGAAATTTCCATAAAATATAGGAACATTTCTAATAAAATATTGAAATATTTCAGTAAATTAAGGAAATTTCCATAAAATATCAGAATATTTCACTAAAACCTTGAAATATTTCATTACCCAAGGCCACAAAAATCCGATTTAAATGGAATTTTTTCCCCTCCCCACTCCCAACATTCCTTAAAAAAACCCCAAAAAACCAGGAATTCTCCACCAAAAAAAAACCCCAAAAAAATCCCAATTCTGACCCTGAATATCTGAATTTAATTTGGGATTTTTCCACCCAAAGCCCGCGGGAATAAAGGAATTTTTTTCCACAATAAAAACACTGTTTATTTATAAATCCATTTCCCTGCTTTTTATTCCACGTTTTCCACTCCTGTACAATTCCAAGCTGATCCATATTTTTTTTTATTTAATTCTTTTGAAATTTTTTAAATTTTTTTTAATAATTATTTTTTTCCTGTTTTTCTTCGGGGAAAAAAAAAAAGGAAAAAAAAACCTCCACAAATCCTATAGAAAAACAGGTGCTGGGTGCCTCTGGAATTTGGGAATTCCAAGAATTTTTTTAAATTAAAAAAAAAACCAAAACCATTTTCCCAAAAAACATGCAAATTCCGGTAAAAAATCGGAGCTGGCAGTGAAAAATCAACCCAAAATCTTTTTTTAATTTATTTTTTTTAATTTTTTGACGGATTTTTCCGGATTTTTCGTCTCAGTTTTAATCCCAAATCCCGGATTTTTCCCATCCTAAGGAAGGCGAAATTTTCCAGGATTTTTAATTTTTTTTAAATAAAATTAAAACGCTCCAAAAAGGGGGGAAAATCCAAGGAAAATTTGAGTTTTTCTGCCCCTCCAGCAGGAATTTTTTTTTGAGGGGGTGGGAAAAATTGGAAAAATCGAGGTGAAAAAATTCCCCCAAAATTCCATCAAAATTCCCATTTTTCATTTTAAAAAAACCTCAAAATAAGCAAGTCTCGAAGGAATTTTCCATAAAAACGAGGAATTTTTTGGGTTAAATTAAAAAAAAATTTCGACGGAAAAAGGAAAATTCCTGGAATTTTGGGGAACTTTTTTTTTTTGTCTTCCTGGAGGGAAGAAAAACAAATTTAAAAATCACGGCTAAAAAAATCAGGAATTATTGGACAAGTGAGGTAAAGAACATTCCCAAAAAATATCCACCCACCAGAGAGAATTCCTAGGAAATACCAACACAGTGAATCCAAGATTTTCTTTTTTTTTTTTTTTTTTGGGTTTTTTTTTTAAATATTAAAAAAAAAAAAAAAAAAAAATCCACGAAAATCTTCCCAAAAATATCCGGGAGTTCTCCCCCCCCCCCCCCCCCCCCCCAAAAAAAAAAAAAAAAAAAAAAAAGGAAGAAAAGAAAAAAACTCCGCTGGGAATTGGGATGGGTGTGTTCTGAAAACTGGGAATTCCTCGGGTTTGGGGCCAGGAATTTGGGAATATTTTGGGGGGAAAAAATTGGGAATATTCTGGAATTTTGGGGCCAGAAATGGGGAAAATCCTTGAATTTCTGGGGTGAGTTTGGATCTCCATAAATAGGGAAAATTCTTGAATTTTTGGGGTCAAAAACTGGGAATATCCTTGAATTTCTGGGGAGGGTTTGGACCTCCAAAAATTTGGAACATCCTTCAATTTCTGGGGTCAAAAACTGGGAATTTCCTTTCATTTCTGGGGCCTGTTTAGGTCTCCAAAAATAGGGAAAATCCTTCAATTTCCGTGCCCAAAATCCAGGAAAATCCCTCAATTTCCGTGCCCAAATCCCAGGACCTTCAATCGGCCGTTTCATTTCCGGCGTGAATCCGTCCAAATTTTTTTTTTTTTTTTTTTTTTTTTTTTTTTTTTTTAAATAACTTCTTGAAAACTTCCATTATTATTTTTTTTTTCCCCCCCGGGGTGCGGGGGAAGGCGAAGCTCTCACATCTCCATCAGCTCCAGGTCGGCGTCCTCGAAGCCGTAGAAGGACTCGGCCTCGCTCTCGCCCTCGAAGAGCCGCTGCAGGATTTCGGGGTCGGCCTCGGCTCCGTCGTTCTCGGGCGACGCCGGCGACGATTCGCGGCTGGGGGCGATCTCCAGCCTCTCCTCCATGGCGGCGATCAGCTCCTCCTGCTCGTCGCCGCTGCGGCGCGGCGATGCGGAGCGGGCGGCGGGCAGCACGCTGGCCAGCAGGAAGGATTTGCGGATCAGCTCCTGGCAGCCGCCCAGGATCTCCAGCGCCTCTCCCAGCCAGCCCAGCAGCAGCTGCAGCAGCGCCGACGAGTCGGAATCCGCCACGTCCCTGGCGCGCTCCTTCCATTTCTTCTGCAGGAAATCCTTGAGGGATCTCTTGACGCAGACGTCCAAGGGCTGCGCCTTGGAGCTGCAGCCGGCCGGGATGACGGCGGGCAGAGTCCCCGCCGCGCTGAGCACGGCCAGCACCTCCTCGGACAGGTGCGTCCGGTGACAGTCCAGCAGCAGCATCCCCTTGGGGGAGCCGCCGCGGCACTCCGTGTGCTTCCTCCACACCCTCTCCGCCCACAGCTCCATGATCTCGTCGT